CATTCAAAAAAAAAAAAAAAAAAATTGTAATGTCCTTGTATGCCTTCTTCCTTGGCCTGATCAATTGTTCTTGTGCCTACAGGTGATCCTCCCACTGAGGAGGAGAAGGCAAAGAAGGAGGCAGGGAAGCCCCAGGTGGATGAGATTGTGCCGGTGTACCGGCGGGACTGTCATGAGGAGGTGTACGCCGGCAGCCACCAGTACCCTGGCCGCGGAGTCTACCTGCTCAAGTTTGACAACTCCTATTCACTCTGGCGCTCCAAGAGTGTTTACTACAGAGTCTACTACACCAGATAAGCCTGAATACAGACACAGGGGGAGCCAAGGAGTGTGTATGTTGATATATATGTGTGTGTGTGTGTGTGTGTTTGTGTATGTGTGTGAGTGAGTGAGTGTGTGTTGTGTGTGTGTGTATGTGGAGATTTGTGCGATGGCAGCCTGTATGTGTGTGTATGTGTGAAGGAGAACATGATATCAGATATATTCTGGACAAAACCACCAGAGGGTGACAAAGAGACACATCTGGAGCCCTAGTATGGAGATTTGACTAATATGTATGTACTGTATGTGTATGCGTGTCCCAAGATACATCCATGTTAGATCCTGTCATCGAGCCCTTGGAAGAGGAGTGTGTATTCCTGTTGTATATTCACCACCTGTCCTTGCTGCGCTCACATAGACCAAGCTGTAGGACTTCGCTCTCATGTTGTAGTTGACCACTTTTCATCCTGGGCTCGTCTTCTGTCACCGCTCCAGCCCAACACAGTCCAACGTGGCCTTGTGGCTGCTTCTGCCCTGAGTGATGCTTTCATAACCATGAACGGAAACCAAGCGACTCCAGCGCTCTGTCAGCCAAATGTTTCCTGTTTGGTGGTAATGGTGGTTGTTTATCCCACAAGAACACAGACAATGTACGTCATAACACTATACCTTTGTTCCACTGAGAGCTTCTGGTCTTTGCCAAGTCTCACTCACACATTAAAACACCAGTGTACACAAATTTAATCATCCTTTTTGTTGTAAAACAGTAGTTTGTCATTCTCTTCCGAGCTACCATGCATATATGAAGATCTGAGAGGATGTTTAGTGAAAGCAGTGCTCTTTTTGGCTTATTCCTGTGCAGAAACAGTCTGTTTTTCATCTTTATTTCTTGATACAATCTAATTAACACAGTGTACCAGGAGTAGGTGTTTTAGTTTAGAGGGTTTACAGGCAGAATTTATGAAGGACAGGCAAGAAATCACAGCACGGTTTTGGGTAAACTCCAAATGAAGTCATGGGTGTTAAGTGAGAAAGTACAAAACAACATGCACATGGTAAAGTATGGCTGTGGGCAATCTGGCCTTGTAAACTCAAGCATCTCAGTGTGTAATACAAAATAAGAGGTTAAAAACAAATTACTTAATAAATATTTGTTCTCCCTTCGTCCTACAAATATTTTTTCTGTGTGATGCTGTTTCAGTTTGTTCCGTTTGCCTCAGTGCTTCTCGACAGTCCCTGTCTGTATAGTTACACCACACAAATATTACATTAAATTGTCCTTTGCTCATCAATTCTTTATGAAAGAATCAAGAAAAAGGACACAGTATTAGGACAGATGTTATCTTAATATTTTTGTGTTTATCATTCTGTGTGTTTAGAGTTGCTGTACTCAGTTCTGACACACAACATCTAACAATAAAGATTACATTTTTTTGGAGGTCGTGACACTGTTACATCTCTGCAGCGCTCAGAAAACCACAACCTAAAACAGTGCCGGTGTTCTGTTTTTTTTCTTCCTGGTATGAATCAACTCAACTTGTCACCTCAAACATCGTGAATCCTGAATAAACTGAGATAGACTTATAAATGTGTCTTGGGTGACGTGGTTGCTTACTAACTCAGTTGTGACATCTAAATGTATTATTATTATTATTTTTTTTTTTTTTATTTTGTTGCCATAATTTAGATTAATTCTGTTGTTCAGTTTCACATTGAATATGCATGTACCACCCAGGTGCATTATGAGCAGTGCTGTATCAGCTGTATCCTGTCTGAATCTGAATGATGGTTGTTCAATGGGGAGTGTCTTCAGTGGTTGTCAGAGACATTTGGTTTCACTTTATCACACTTACTAGAGCTGCATTTGTACATTTTTATGTCTGTGTGCAACCAAACTTTAAAGACACAGGTGGAGTATCTTGCAAGTTGAGTACTCCTCCAATGTCTTTTCTGAGTGTCAATTTGTCATATTATTTAATTAGAGGCTGCTAATGCCTCCTGTCCATTAAGTGATTTGTGTAACAAGATGTCACTACCTATGGCTTAAACAAGCCATGAAGTTCAAGCAAGTTCCCATATCTTCTGACTTGTGTTGTTTGTTTTTCTTAAGTTTCTTATTGTTCACCAAATGGTTTGAGTTGACTTGTTCAAGCCTTGTATGTAAATAATTCTACAAATGAGTTTATGTATGGGTTTTTAAATGTGGAAGAAGGCTATGGTTTTGAGAATCAATGCACTGTAAAATATGGTGAATGAGATATATGTATACATTTTACCCCGAATGAAAGTCCAAAATTCATAGCAAGTATAAAACTGTAAGACTCTATTGACATGACAGACAGAGAAGCTCATCTTTTTGTATTGTTTTCACTTGTTTGGATCTCTTACGAGTTGCAAGATCTTTTTGGGCATATATTTAATCTTGATTAAACTTATGTTCATCTCTAGAACTGGACAGTTTGCTTACCTTTCCATTTTTATTATTTCAATATCTAATGATCATGTTTTAATGCTTTGTGTCTTAAAGCTTTGGTTCCCTTTATCTTACATAGATTTTTTGCCTCGAAACAGATAAAGAGAATTACTGAGGTTGCCCCCAAAAGATGTTTTTCACAGGTGATATTTTAACCATAGCAGAAAAAGCACAATTGGATCTAATTAAACTAACAAGTCACTTCCCAGTAAGTCAGAAATGAAGCCTTAGTTATTGCTATTGATTACACCTGTGTTTTAGCTTGCCAGTCTCTATAAAGAAAACTACTTTCATTTCAGAAGATTACATTTTTAACGGAAAAGGGAGGCAATGTTGGAACGCCAAAAATGTCCTTTGAGCAACAAGACACCGTAAGGCTTGTTCCTTTTTTCTACCAGTGGTGAATGTGTCATCCTCAAGCTGCTTTCCTGTCAAAAACATTTTGTGCTGAGGGAGGGACAAACGCGGATGTTACTGATGTGTAACAGGAGGATACACCTCGCCTTCAGTGTTTTCCATGATGCACATAGGACGGGAAGGAAAGGACAGCAGCCACCACTGCAGGGAACAGCTGTATCAGCCTTTTACACTCTAGTATTGAGTAACTATCGCTACAGAGTACATACCAGCTGGGGAGGAATTTGAAGATCTCCTTTTTATTTGAGTAATGAAACATTGACTGGCCTGGATTTTATGTCACATAGGGCCCTTGAAGTTGCTGTGCTCATTGAATACACGAGGGGGCACATTAAATACAACAGACACACCCTTTTCCAACTGGGCATTGTCATCCAGACTTTCCAAAGATTCCCCTGAACTTGTGGCCTGTATATTTTGAAACTGAGCCGTGCACATGGCATGCTATTGATGAGGAGAGTTTGCTCTTTGGAATTTAAAGAGCAACGGTGGGAATGTGAAGCGGTGGACTGGACACAGGACAAACATGCTCTGTACACACAGAGAGGAGATAAATCAGAGACAAGTGTTCAGAGAGTCTGTTGTCCAAGGGTTATTTTGAAAGGTATGAGCAAACAACTAAAATACCCTGCTAGTATGTTCTCACTGTAGTGACTGTCGAACCATGTCCCTTTGTTTAAAATGAATGCAGCGACGAAAAATTGTAGGCTAACGCTAATCGAATTTTAAGCTAAGGTTAGCTTAACTTGTCAGTAGTCATTTGGATGTTTCGTGGGTCATTGCTAAAATATAAAAACCATAATGCCCACACTCATGGGATTTTTGCTGTAAGTTGCAAATATAACTGTTTTTTTTTTTTTTACCTAACTGTACTAGGTAGCTAAACAACTCAAACTAAACTGTGATGTAACTTTGCTAACTCGAGTTTAGCTATGGGGGAAACATCACTACGTGAACAGGTCATTTTAATGCCCCTATTTCCCAATTTAAATAAGATAAATTGCCTATTTAAAAACTCCAAAAATAGCTGCATTTAAAAAGGAAAAACGAATTGTTAGTATAATGGATTGCTTTTATGGGTTCAGTCATGGGTTAACAGAATGGAAGACTATTTTCGGTGTTTAGTTTACTGTGAAGTTACAGGGCTATTTAAATGAAAAGATTTATTAAAACCATCCAAAGTCCATTAACTACTCCTAACATATTACATAACCTATTAAATTGCCCTCAATTTAGCAAGGTACTCCTTTCTGTAGAACTGAATTAAAGACTTTAAATGTTATCTTAAGGTATTCTTCCGTTTAAAATACAATTGGTTAATGTAAATGCTTATCTTTAGACGTAATGGTTAATAGAGAATGAACAGTGATTTTAATTAGCTTCACACTGTTGTCTTCTGATTTCTCAGTGTAACTCCCGGTGCAGTTTCTTTTTGAAAACTCTGGTCCTGGTTTTCCATCCGTCCGCTCCATTGACTCTGAGGGGAGGCAGGTAATTCTTCTCTGTATGTCTGGCTCCGGTTCCAGTGGCTACAGGTGGTTGTAGTATTTTCCGGGTTTTTATTTGCACTTTTTCCTACTTTTCCTTGTGTTTTTTTTCCTCCTTTCTCTTCAGCCTGCCCTGCACTCTGTCTGGTTGAATTTGAATAGACTTTGGGAGGCAAGCAACGTCTCCAGTGTACAGCAGCACGAAGTCCCATGCTTTGAAAAACAAAAATATGGCGGGATGGAAGGATTATACTGCCTCAGAAATATTTCGTGCTCTTGGACGGTAATGCGTCTTGGGTTTGTTTTAAAGCTGTGAGGTTTTTGCGTGAACAGTTTTCGTCCCGCTGGAGTTATTGGTTTGAAATTTAATATGCCCTTTCATCAGAGGAGTATTGAGCCACGGCGTGTGAGTAGGTTATCGGCGAGGGATGGCTGGATTCAGGGGGAAGAAACCGGGAGACGCAAACTGCGAAAACCCATTTTATTCTCGTCTTTGGATGAGGTTGGCTGTCATACACTGACCAACATAATTCACCAACTTTCCGACCTTTCTCGACATGCCAGCGACATCTTTCTGGGCATCGAGATGGAGGCAGGGATGGTGTTCAGAAGATCCTGCAGGATTCAGGGGCGGCTGCAAATTCTGCAGGGTGAAGTCTGCAAGTTTGATCCCAAGAAAATCAAAATCCGTAAGTTTGCAGTGTTGGTCACTTGTTGGTAGCAGTGTGACATAAAACTGAAGTGTGAGCAATACCTGTACAGTAAGTCCAGAGGAGTCATTATAAACCTCTTATTGAATCCCACAGACGTGTATATTATCGGTGTGTATACATGGCACCATGATACTTGTGTACCATGAATTGTTATCACAGACTGATATTGACTGATTCCAGACAGAAGTGTGATTAAAAATAGTAAGTACTAAGTCTGACTGGAAACATCTGTATTTGGCAGGTGTGTCTTTCCTTTGGACCTTTACTGTTCTTTTATAATAATATAGGCACTTTCTTGTGGATAGATGCTGGTCAAGTCCAAGTTGATTGTCACATTTTTCCCAATGAAAGAACTGAGGAGGAGTGAACACATGGCTTTATCTGTCTTGATTTGGACTTATGTTAATAGGGGCTTTGAGTCCTGTCAGAAATGATGGATCTCCTCTCAACGCACTGACCATCTGTGTTTAGGTCTTCAAAGGACACTGAGATCACAGAAGGCTTCACAACCTGTCCCTGTTTCTCCTGGCTGTTTCATACATGTAAACAAAGTTGGTCAACACAAAGATAAATGGAAAATCAATTTCCTTTGCTGTGGCCTGTGCTGACTCTTGTTGTTTTGGGATTTCTTTTTCTTGCCCTTGTAAAGCTACCTCCTGAGGTCTTACACACAGGGGTTATATATTAACTCAGACTTTGACTCACACTATAGTGGCTGTGCCAGCTCCATAAAGATTTGGAGATAGACCTCAAATTTTGTCTGCTCTAAGATCTACCTGCAGTAGAGCTTTACATGTCTGCTACTTTATACCACTGCTTTTGTTTAATAGGTTATTGTATGGTAAAGTTTATAAACATAGTAGTTAAGGGATCACGTTTCCCATTGATTCCCTGCATAGCTCCTTTGTTTATCTAATTTGCCTCTGAAATATGTTGCAAAGTAGGATTTAGAAGACAAGCCTAGATTCCTCTGAACGTTGGTTCTGACTAATGTGCCTTTTGTTTCCTTTTTACTGTCCTTGTTCCTATGTATTCACCCTGTCTCGTGTATGACTGTGACTCACTCTCTCTCTCTGTCTGACACACACACACACACACACACACACACACACACACACACACACACACACACACACACACACACACACACACACACACACACACACAGATTCAAAACTTGTTGCAGAGAAATGATAAGCTGAGCAGACAGCTCCCAGACACAAATGAATGTGATGTATGGTGAGCAATGGATTGAAGACACACACACACACACATACCCACACACACGGTAGACCATCAGGTTGTGTTTAGGGAGGTACCCACTTCAATACAACTACCTGCCATTTAACTAATCCCCTGTGTTATCGTGTGGCGTGACTTGTCTACTCCTTTTTATCTGTACCTGTTGAAGTTTTGTTATACTCCTGGGCGAGGTTGGGAGTTCCTTTTTTTTTTTTTTCAAAGGTTCTTTATATTTAAGTAATTCACTCAGTCACTTAGTGGAAACTAGCAGCTGAAGACAAGGTGTGAGAGACTAGACAGGAATGCGGTGTGTTATGTAGTGATCTGCAGTTGCCAGCTCCCTCACAGCCCCAAGGCCAACACTGCGTGTACAGAAGCAATGACTTCAGATTCATTACAACATGTTTGCTTGACTCTAATTCTTTCCACATAACCAAACACCTGTCTTTCACAAAAATGCCCTTTGAATTACCCTCCAGTATTACTACAGAAAGTTGGACTGTTGGATTTGAATATGTCAGGATATAGAACAGCTGGTGGAGTTGTTTTGAATGGATATTTGAATGAAAGTTAATATGTAATGCAGAAGACTTCATGGAACTAAGAATCATAGAAACATATTATAGTATTTTTCTGCTGCAGTAACACGTTCTTACAAAAGAACGTGTTGCATAATTATATTAGCTCATAGTATCTATAATTAACATTTAACTATGACCGGTCACTCTGTTGTCTGAAACCACTGTGGGTCAGGATTCCTACTCTAACCTCAGCTCTGAGATGGATTACCAGTGAGGTCAACAAGACGGGGCCCCTATATACTGGGATACTGACATTAGGGAAGAACGTTGTGTTTGGTGTGTGTGTGTGTGTGTGTGTGTGTGTGTGTGTGTGTGTGTGTGTGTGTGTGTGTGTGTGTGTGTGTGTGTATGTGTAGTGCTTTGTGTTGCCTCACCGTTTGTCTGCCTATGCACTCAAGTAATCAGGAGCAGTTTGAACAAGGATATGATAGGCAAATGGGATTTCCTCTCCATGTGTATTTTAACTGTCTCATGCCACTGTTCATCCATTTGTGGTGAAGTACAGGTCACAGGGGCAGAGGTCAGAGGTCATCCTTTCCACCCTCAGAGGGAACACCTGACACTCCAGAGTCAAGAGTTTAAACAAAGTCTAGTTTGGCTTGCATGGGTTACTGCTGCCGGCCAACAAGGGTCATTCAGCTATGGCTAGCTAATGGATTGCTACTGCCACACCCTGATGCATTAATGACATTAAGAGAAATGGGACTCCGAAGGAACAGTTTCAGGCACGGAGTAATAACAAGGAGAGACAGTGTGTACAGTCCCCAGGTGCTCCCATGGCAACAACATGTTGTTTGTGAATATGAGAAGAGCCTTTTAGGAGTTTTCGAAGATTTGCAGCTAAAGGAGATCAGATTTATAGTGACATTTTCCAAATAAACCAAATTTCATTGTTCAAAAAGAGATATCAAAATTATGTTATCAAGTATTGTAAATCATGCTGAAGTTAGATAACTTTCAGATAAACTCTGTATGACCTTGATATAATTGAGCACAAAGGTGTGAAATGGTGGGATTCCCATTATACTCTCTTAAATTTTGAATCTTTAATATATTAAGGACTTGTTTAGGACTTCAATTAACCATTATTTTCTTTATTGATTAATCTGCCAAACATTTTCTTGATTAATCAGTCAGTTGTTTGGTCTATTAAATCAGAAAAAAAGAGAAAAATCCCATAATTTTCAAAATGGCAATCTTCAAATGTCTTATTTTGTTAAAACGGCCCAGAACCCAAAGATATTCAGGTTACTGTCACATAAGATACAGAAAATCATCACATTTGAGAGGCTGGAACTCAAGATTGTTTGGTGTTTTTGCTTGAAAATTTTCTGATGATAAATTCAGTGATTATCACTATGGTCAATGAAGATTTTTTTGCTTGTGAAGTAACAAAATAAATGACTAATTGTTTCAGCTCTAGACTTGTTTGGCCTTTCCTAAGATGCTAAACTAGTTAAACTTTGAGTTTAAAGTCAAGTGTGCTTTAACTGTATGTTAAACACTGAGTCTTCTTTTCTAAATATAACACTGGGTTGAATAGGGAGTACGCTATTTTAATGGAGAAAGTAGGTCGAACAAGTGAAGGTTAATTGGAGATAGGAGAGTTTTAGGGCCCCCCTGTCAAATATCTTGATGGCCACTAGCTACCTGCTGCCGTTGGGCTTTGAAATAGAGACACACACACACACACACACACACAGGGGAAAAAAAAAAAAAAAAAGACCAGCTGACCTGCTAATGTCCACAGTCCATCTTGCGCACATAGACACACATGGTAACTGCCTGTGCATTCCTCCTCCTATCCCTGTGATATTTATAGATGCATGTATTTGCCTGATGATCTTTCATCTGTAGCATGCTATCATGTTTAGTATGTGTTGCTTCATCCAAGTGCTTCTCAAGGACCTGTGTGTGCATGGGCACATATACACTTGACTTGTCTGTCGATGGACATTTTTGGGTCAACTGTGAAAATAGATCGCTTGACTGAGATCCAAATTGTGACAAAGAATAACAGTGTGTAGTCATTCCTGGATAAAGTTATTTCTGTTTATGGTATTCTAACCACCTTCTTTCCCTGTTTTCTGCACAAACACACACATACATACACACCCCTGTTTGTCCCACCTCAATTCCTCCTAGTCACTATTCACTCAGGCCGGCCATGATCCCCTCCATTCATCAATTGAGAGCAGTCGTTACGCAGCCAGAATCCACAAGTCAGTTCCCACAGGGCCTGTTCCAACGAAAGGAGCCTGGCCTGGTTCTAGAGGTCAACCTGGTCCCATGAGAGACAAAAGGGAAGGGTTGGGACGGCCAGAGAGAGAGAGATAGAAAAATAAGAGCAAATAGGGGAAAAGAGTGGGAAAGGCCTGTAGCATTCCAAGAAGTGGAGGGATATTACCATTGACCTGGATCTGACTTGGACTTTCTCTATGTGTGTGTGTGTGTGTGTGTGTGAATGCGTATACATCCAGCAGCCCTCTCTCACGCCTCTGTGCAGACTGCCCAGGCTGTTGACGCAGCCCTGGCGAGGGCACAGAAGAGTTTTAGGGAGTGAAAGAAGGAGACATTACTGATGAATAAACTCTCTTGTGTATTCGTCTTTGTGTGTGTATACGCACACATTTTCTTCAGCGGCCTGTCAGTGTTACCACAAGATACTTGTTGATCATCACATGGAAAGTCCTTACTCCAGCTGCTTCTGCTCAGTGCTGTCCTCCACTTAATGAAATCTGTCAGAGACTGATTATCTGTTGATGGTATGAGGAGAGTAAAGTTGATAAGAAATGGCTAAATTTAGAGGTGTGTGTGGGCAGGCCTGACTGTGTGTCATCCCTGGTTTGAGCAGTGGTGCTAAACCTGGGCAAACTGCTACAGATTACCAGATCACTGTATTGTAGATACCAGTGTTTTATCAGTCATTTCATGCCAGCATTAGATGATGTTCTCTTCCTCAGCAAATGGCCTCTGATTTACTTCCTGAAAATGATGGAAATATCATAGACAGTCACTTCAGTGTTGGCAACCAATGAAAGCGAAGATGTCCTTGTTTGATCTGTAACTTTGCCTCCTTATCCATATGCTAAATTTCTGGTTCACTGTATAAAATGGTGCATGTCAAGATTTAATCATGGCTGTCCATGAGCA